GAGATATTGCATTGACATCAAGACATAAATGTTATGACATTAGAGTATGATTTAGGGTAGAGACTTCTAGTATCACCAACTGCATTTCACATGTACGAGGCAGGAGGTAACAAACAATTTAATTTCGATAAACGTGGATGATTTAATGACTAATGAGTGTGGATTTCTATGCTCTTGATCTTCAGCATCAGTAGATGTAATCATGACAACAGTTGTTATATAACTCATGCAACTCTATCTATCTGACCTGCTGTATTGGTGCAAAAATGTATGCATGGTCTTAGAATATGATTTAGGGTAGAAATCTCCCTAGTATTGCCAGCTTTATCAAAAGGTATCAGAGTATCAGATAAATGACAAAAAAAAGGCAAGGAAAGAAGAAAGTGGAAAAGGAAAAGAGAAGAAGAAAAAGCAAGATTGTGTTTTTTTTGGAGAGAGAGGGCGAGGGGGGGGGGATGAGAAACTCCTAATCAACCATAACATTTCACAATTAAACGATACCATTGATATCTTGACCATTTTCATAAGAAATCTCTTACCACTGGTGAATGGAGTGAAGTGTCAACTAGCAAGGAGTGACATCTTTTTTTATTAACTTATTCATGAGGTTGATGTCTAAGCCTTAGAGTAAGGAATATTTTTCTTCTTAAGTCCTACTATATTATAAAAGTTAATGATTGTTTGCTCTTTGTTTTTTAAATTACTTTATGCAATTGTTTTGGCTACCATGTGCGAGCAGGTAAAGCGGGAAAAAAAAAGTTTATACAGTGGATACACGCATAAACATGGAACTAATGTATTGTACTCTCATCTGTATGTCGCATCTAAGTTTCTTACCTATGTCATCAACAGCACTTGTCTGTCACCCAAATCATTGTTAGATTGTAAATTAGCTAATTTAATCTGATTTTGGTTGAGATTCATTTTACATTTACTCAGTTGTCAGTCTGAATGGGGTTCCATATATATGTGTGAGCTAAAATCGTAATGCATAAGTCAGTCTGTTTCCAGGTTGCTTAAGCAGTATCAGATGTGACCACGATGCACAAACTCATACATGGTAAAAGGCAGCTTCCTATATGCATGAATTTCTCTAATGTTCCACGGATATTATAAAAGTTAGTATCTAATAATCATTTCTATCGATATAGATACCTTCTTCTGTCTGTTTATTTTGACATCGTACCACAAACAAGTTGTTGCGATGTGCGTATTTTTATTTATTTATTTATGAAACAATACAATTGAATTTTTAGGTATATTCTAGTTTAAAACAGATTACATTTTTATTGTTGGGCAGGCAGTTTTTTGTTATTGGATCACATCAAACCTTTTTTCCCTTGTTTATGGCGCCGGTGAGTTCTATTCTTCAAATTCTACCCAATGATTTCTTCCCAAATAGTCAGTAATATGACATTCATCATATTTTTAACTGTGAACAGTTCTCAAGCGCAAAATAGTAAGGAAATTCCTGAATCTCCCTGATATAACTCGGTCTTCTAATTCTGCACCTGCCTCTTCAGTTTGGGGTGTGAAGAACCCTAAACCCTAATTCTGGTTCTAGTTCCTATTCTTCTTCTGCTGCATTGCCAGCTTCAGGATCTGAGCCGATCAAGGCAGATCGCAGAATTTCTTCATCTTCTGTTATGAGCCAGCGATAAGAAAACCTAGAAAAGCAAGTGAAAGGTAGAAACAAAAACAAGAAAAGGTGACAAATGTCTGGGACTAGCTAGCAATTGGTCAGTTATGTAGAAGAACAATCTTTCAGTGGCTAATTTTCTGATCTGACGCACGAAAAGCAATTTTTAGTCGGATGAGACTGTCGACATGTAACCCAGTATAGATCATGGTATGTTCTTTAGCACTCAAATTGTATGAGCTGCGTCCAGGAGGAGATTATGTTCCCGGATTTTTACTGAATGCCCCTTTAGTCTTTTCTAATGTTACTGATATTTTAAAATATGCTCTCTCACTGTTTGATTTTCCTGTTTCTTTTTGTTGTTTTAAGAGCTGCGAAAGGGGTTGTTGGGACCTGTAATGTATTCTTTGAACATTTCTCTAGTATTTAATTGGTTAAATTGGTGAAAATGGGAGAATCTGGTGTAGTAAACCAGATCATGTGGAAATATTAATTCATATCTGTTTTTCATCGACGTTTTTAACTTATCAAAAAAACTCTGTTAATTTATTCATTAAGTTTGATTATCGTATGATTGTGCTAGATTATTGCATGATTTATTCAAGTTAGATTATTGTGTGATTCATTCATCAGAACTTAAACATTTAAAACGAATGCTTATGACATTTGAGAACTTCTAATTCATGCAACACGAATGATTTTAGTTCCGTTGATATATTCACTTATTCCGGATGAGCAAATAAGTTAAACCTGCTAATCGAATTAGATGGTGTACCCTCGATCTTGTTCTGTAGTTAGAATATCAAATTCACTCAACTCTACATTCTCCATTTTTTAAGCTTTTAGAGGACGTTCTTCTACAAATGAAAGATTAATAATAGATTGAGAATTGTGACTATAAGAGTTTGTGACATTGTTTCATTATTATTGGCTTTTCTTTCAAAAATTGCATCAATCTTGGATGGTTTAACTAGGCCGTGTCTGCACATCATATCATTCCTTGAATTTTTCTCTGCAAAACATGGCCTTGTTTTTTTTTTTTGATGAAATAGCACTTTAGTCAAGTTAAAACATGAAATAATGAAGTACAAACATTTGCAAGTATAGATATATATATATATATATAT